AAATATGGTCTATGCAATGAACTGATGATATTGTAATCACCAACTACAGTCTATATGACTAGCTACTACCATAGTCATTACGGTTTCTATGGTTAACTGACACCATTACAGTTAACAACTATGACCTATGTGGCTAATTGATAATATTGCAGTCATCAACTATGACCTATGTGAACAACTACTACTCATAGAGTTTCAAACTATGACATTTGTGGCCAATTGGCGTTATTGAAGTCACCAACTACAACATATGTGGTTAGCTGAAAAAATTACAGTCACTAACTATGATCTATGTAGTCTATTATTACCGTTACAACTTCCAACTATGATTTTTGTGGCCAACGGACATTATTGTAGTCACCAACTATGACCAATGTGGCCAACAGACTATATTGCAACTTCCTACCACGGACTTTATGGCCAACTATTGCATGTGTGACAACAAACTATGGCCTTTGTGGCTGATTACTACTGTTACAACGTTCAACTGCAGCATTTTTGGCCAACTGTCACCATTATAGCCATTGAATACAACTTTCATAATCAACAATATTTGTTGTAACCCAATTGTGGTTATTATAATTAAATTACTATTTTACGTTTGTAATATCAGCATTGCAATTTCATCTTCTCTAATTCATGCAAAGAACAGACATATGTACTTACAAACTCATAGTGGATTATTTTGATTAGGCTAGGGCACATAATTTTTTCCCTATTCCAATTTTTTTTTTTTCCGTAAAAAATCCCGGTGTCTCCTACTTTTCTATAATCTGTGTGCACGTTGGATCTTTGTGCAACGTTATGATGTTAAATTGTTGCTCTACCGCCACAAATTTTCCAGCACGCATCAAAGTATAATAAATGTAAATGTGAAAGCTTTGGTCTTAGATATGTTAATACATAAGAATTTGTGGTATGTATTTTAATTTTCCAATAAATTATTTATTGTTTTCTTCTTGGGTGAATAGTGCAGAGTAAATTGAGATAGTATTTATTTTATAAGATAAATGAAGATTGTAATTTGTTTTATATATTAATGCCACTTCACTTGGTTAGTGGTCCTCTTATTGAAAAAAAAAATAACCGTAAACATTGAATTATTTTCAAATTTCATGCGGGGAAAGGTGGTTCAGCACTCATTTTTTATTTTGGCATCAGATTAAGATAAAGGTGGTGGTGAACATTTGGTCGTTTCAAAATTTTCCTTTCAGTCATCCTTACACTAGTTTTATCCCTAGTTTGACACGTAACTTTTAAATGACTAGTGGCTATGTCGTTAAGAATCAATTAGCAAGAAATTTCTTCAAGCAACATGTAACAATTCCTTAAAAGCTGTAACTAGAAAAATTTGATTCAATGTTGCATCAATTTAGAGAAGGTTTCTTATAAAATTAGCGTGTGCTATAGTAGATTGAACATATTGTACCTACCCGTTTAACTTGTAAAACTTCTTGAACTCTATATGTACCATTCAATTTTGAATGCAACTTTCTAAATTTGCTTTACATTGTTCAAGGACTTTTTGCATTTAATACTCCTGTATTTTTGTTGTCAATAGTATTAAATAGTTATTTTAACTAAATTTTATACAGATGAAAAATAAAAATTATTTGTCAAACAATTGATTAAAAACAATAGAAAAGTAGAATTAATGATTTGCACCAACCATATTGATAGAAAGCTGCACCCTTTTTTAAGAGAAAAATTGTATTCTTTTAATTGAAAGAACAATATAAAAACATGTATGGGCCCATGGGAAAATACAGAAGGGAAAGTAAGAAAGAACGTAGCATATGTAAATGTAACAAAATCAACAGTCACAATATGTGGAATCGGAAAATCCTATGGATCATGAATATTAATTGAAACTTCCAATGAGGCTATATTAGCACGAGATCCTAAGAGGGTGTCTGCAATCAAACTTCCCATATAATGCCTCGGCAACCAAAGACCCGCCCAAAATTTTTGCAACCTGAAAGCAGCATGCATAAGCAATTCATTATGATGATTCCTCACCATAGAAGGAGAAATTTGATATGGACAAATATCTAGTCGAGCCATTTAGAAGTCCACCCGTTTGAAAGTCACATTATTGGATATTGCAGGAAGTTCCATGTCATTTTAAGCAATTTAAGGTTTCACATTTTAATCAATTTTTTTGCAGTCATTGTTATAATTGGAATTAATTTAAGAATCATAATCACATCAATAGAGAAAGGTTTATCTTTCTCATTGTGCACAAAATTTGTTATAATCAATTCTACCCAGCTATAATAATAGGAATCACCCCAATTATAAGTTTATGATTTTAAAGGAAGGGAGATTTAACAGTTTCTTAATTTTTGAAACCTTTTTCTTTCAAAATTTATATTTGTGATGTTATTTGTTTAAAAACTCGTTGTTCGAGGTAAAATAATAAAAATCAAATTCCCTGAAGCAAGAAATTTATTCTACTTCTAACCAATCATGCCTTTTTGTTTGATATTGAAGCAACCCCTTTTTCCTCCCAAACATGGATGCAATTTACCCTGTTTTTTCTTATCTATTTGAATTACAAATGCACTTCTAAAATGATTAGAATTTACAATAATTTTATTAGAGGGGTTTGAGTATTAGTTATCTTGTTATTTTTTTTTATTTTTTTAAAATGATATTTGTTTTCCATATAAATGCTCTATATGTAATTTGCTAGAATATTATATGTTATATAAAATTTAATGCAGGAGTTGAACATTTCGGTTTTATTTTATATTATTTTTTGAAATTTCCATTTTGTCACCATATATCAAATTCATCACACATCTTCTATTATTTTTCTATTGATGCACTAACATAGCTTTTGCTATTTTTTTAAGCGTCGTTTTACTAAAAGTTTTGTGTGAGATTTAGTAACTTAGTATTATTATCATTCTTGCGTGCAACTGTTTGAGAGAAATACTCATGGCAAAGGCAGACTAACGTGTGGTATAATTGAGTTGATTTGGCACATATGCCATTTACGTGTGGCCTATTTTTGTTGACATGTGTATTATTTTTACCCCTTTTTTACTTTTTTTTACTTTTTTATTTGGTTATAGAAAAAATTTTATGCTTAAATTTGATGTATTTAATGCAAAAATTGAATTCCTTATTGATATATTATTTCATGCTTAGAAAAACTTAAATGTGGTCTGAATTCTAAGGCTTCAAATTATACTAATTAATCAATGGGACATAGTGTTTTAAATATGCTTATGTTATGATTTTCTTATTTTTATGTTAGTGTACTACTATGTTGCAATAAACTAATTTTACAATCTATTTGAAATATAAATATCTTTTAAAAAACCATGAAAGCTCGACACCGTTTTTTGTCAAATGACCTTTTTAATTTGGGAGTTTCTTGGGTCTTTAATATTATTCTAAAAATTATTCTGATTCTTATTTTTAAGATTAAAGGGGATGCACCAAAGTGTACAAGTTATAGAGGAATTAAGTTGATGTTTCATACTTTAAAATGATCTACGTATGATTTTTATTGATGTAGAAAAAGCTTAAAAGAAGGTTCCAAGATATATCCTTTGGAGAGTTTTAAAGTTGATATGACTTATATTCAAGTCATTAAAGATATGTATACTAGAGTTGTTACTTGTGTTCGAACAGAAAGAGTATTGACCAAATATTTTCCTATTTCAGTTGGATTAAATTAGGGTTCAGTTTTAAGCCCATATCTTTTTGCTTTAGTTATGGATGCTCTAACCGGGCATTTACAGAAGGATGTACCTTTTTGTATGCTTTTTGCTGATGATATCCTTCTTTTGGATAAGATTAAATAAAGAGTTCAGGAAAAGCTTGAATTATGGAGATCTACATTGGACTCTAAAGGCATTTGTTTGAGTAGATCTAAAACTGATTATATGGAATATAATTTTAGTGGTAGTAGCTCTAGTGGCAGAGTTATAACTATGGGTGATCTTATTAAAAGGTGTGAACTTCTTAGATATCTTGGGTCTTTTGTTCAAAGTGACAGTGATATAGATGGGGATGCTATTAGTAGAATTTAAGTTGGTTGGTTGAAGTGGAGGAATGCATCGGACCTATTTTGTGATAGAAAAGTACTGGTTAGACTGAAAGGAAAATTTTATAAGATGGTGGCAATACTTACAAGGCTCTATGGCACTGAAGCCGCAGAATGTTTGCTTTAGAAGAGAAACATAAAACAAAGTTAAGTGTTGTTGAGATGAGAATGCTTTAGATGGATGAGTGGCTTAACACTAAAAGATAAAATACGAAATGAATATATCCATGATAGTGTTGGTGTAGCTCCAGTGGGGGACAAGGTTAGAGAGAGTCGTCTTTGATGGTTTCATCACAGAACTTCAATCATCTGATGATCCGATTAGGATAGTAGATGTTTTAGATTCAACTTATGTTAAGAAAAGACAAAAGTAGTCTTAAAAGTTGGACTCATTGTATAAAAAATGATCTTAATCTATTAGAATTAAATGAAAATTGGCACTCAATAGGACACAATGGAGAAAAAAGATTCATGTAGCAGACCCCACTTAGTGGCATAAAATCTTGTTGTCGTTCTTGTGTGTTTTTTTTTACTTATGCAGTTCGGTTATCAGTATCAAAATATCATTGTTTTTTCTTTTAACAATGTTACTGTAAAATGAATGAGAAAACTAGTTATTTCGGCCTGCATATTAAGAGCTTTTGACTTTTTATGAGCCAAACAGATAAATAGAAGTTGAAAGCTAGCATTATAAGTATCTCAGCATCCATATTACTAATCCATGCCGTATGTTGAACCGAAAAGATAAAAGACATATCCATGTGGTACGTTGAACTGAAAAAATAAAAAACATCATTAACAAGCTAAGTATGAAAACATTTACATACTGTGATATTTTGTTTGAAGATTGACCTTCATCAGTGTCCATGAAGCTGGTCAAACCAGTGAACTTTTTTGTGTTTCAATTAGCTGTTTAATATTTCTGCTGCTTATCTTGCAGATATTTTGTATGATTCATGGTCCCCAGCAATGACTGTAAGCTCCATCTGCATCAGCATTCTATCCATGTTATCAAGTTCTACCGTTAAGGTATATGAACCTTTCACTAGCTACTTTTTGCACTGATTATTCATCTTCAGTTTATTGGACACTACTTTTTATTTATTTATTGACTTTAGTGACAACTAAGCTAGAAATTTGTGATTAGAATATGTTTTACAAATGGATCTCCTAATTGGAGAGAAGACACTATTTCAAAAGTTTTTGTTTTGTTCAGCAACGCCCGGAAGACAACGATCGCTATGTCAAGAACTGCAAGAATGGCAGATCTCCGAAGGAGACAAGATGGTGGTTTCATGACGACAAAGTGTAATAATCCCTTTGGCTTTTCCCATTACTAGTGTGAATGAGGCATCTCCTCCCCTTCTTTAAGGTTTGTAGCATACTCCATTTATTCTTTTGGGTCAAGCGTTTGTGTGCTACTGCATCATTGCCAGCCTCTTTTATTTGTAAAGAAAGCAATAACTGTATTGATCAGAACTATATTATAGTTATCTATAAATCCAGTTATCAGAAATTCTGGGAACTTTGTTTTTTCATCAACCATTACAATTGCCACTGTGATGCATTTTCATTTGTTCTTTAATCCATTGTTTTATCAGGCAAATTTTTTTTTTTGAACATTATAGGTATCTTGCTTCTGAGAATAAAATATATTTTTCTTCAAAATATGCAGTTGCAAGATTTTTTGTGCTTGTACTACTGAAGTTTTGGCTTGATATATGTACATTTTAACATAGGCTGCAGGGCTGGTTCTTATGCCTTCTTATTATTTGTATTATGATAAGTGGAGGATTTGAAGGTAATGAAAGAGTTTACCTCAAATTTAGGCGGATTAAACTTTCATACTACGCTGTAATGTGTGTCGTCAAGGAAAGAATTTATGGGCATCTACCAGATTGCTTTATTTGTGTTATGTATGCATGTAAGTATAGTGATATACCCTCTTTGTTCATATCTCCCTAATAATATGTTTTTTAGCACCAATGCTCATATAATGTTACACAAAAATTGTATCTGTAGATACATGGGTAACAATCACCCTCAAACTCAATGTTCAGGTTTTCAACCCATAAAAGCTTCTTGTATGAAGTAGTCTGGCAGAATGAAAAAAAGAAAAAGCTTCATTTTGATAAAAAAAATTAGTTTAGTTGGTCAGAAGGCGTGTAGTTGAGGTTGCTGACGATATGGAGGCTCAGATGACTCGAATGGAAGCTTGATTTACTAGTAGGTAGAATGAAAAAAAGGAAAAAGCTTCATAACAATTAAAATAAAATGATGAGAAATTTTTATGTGTTGCGACCGACGAGTGCCGCACTTCAATTTTCTCATATAAATTCATTATATTGTGATTGTAATATCCATGGAAGAAACAAGCATTTCCTCTAGTCCAAACTCATCGCAATAGCCACACTCATTTGATGTGATTATAAACCACTAAGATTCAAGTTAGGGTGATTGTAGTTAATTGTTCAATTTATCTACTAATGTTTCTATTGATTGAAGTGATTGTTTGTACGCTAGATTACATAGATGATTGTCTAGTAGTTCTGACATTTGTCTTCTCTAGCTTGTCATGCTAAATGCGCAAAACAAAACGACAAAATTATTACGAAAATTTACTCACTTTTGGCTATAGATATTATTATTTCATGCATATGCACCTAACCACGATCTGTTAGGATAAGTGGCTTAGGACCCACTTATGTAAGATATACTTGCTTGCTTATGTGTGTGTGGTTGCCCATTAATCTCTATGTTGTGGATGTAATTAACGTTATTTGCATTAGAGCTAAATGTATGGCATTTGGGATCATGATGAGTGAGGATGAACTGTCTAGCCTTGTGAAACCTCATGTTGCTTGGAGGACAAAGAAGGCAAATCAAAGATAAAGTTTTTCTTCTTAATTTTAGGCCAAGATGTATAAGAGTAGAGCTCAATTACCCCTTTTTTACTCTTCGTTCTGGGTGCATAGCAATACCTAACTTTACCGGCCTACTTTGTTTATATAGATATTTGACTTTCCTCCGTGCTCTTATTGTAACTTGATGATAAATAGCTATAAAACTTTAAGAAAATATCAAATGTATGTTGTAGGTATACAAATGAGAGTAGCATACATATAATTTAGCACCATCATGAATATGTGAATAGTGGGAGCTACAATGCATTTAAATATAAAGGCTCATGTTTAGCATCAAAGATTAGGAAATATGAGTAATGAGGATTTAAAGGTCTCTTATTCTATAGACAAATTTCTATCTGTTAGCATCTTAATGTAATATATCACATTTATAGTTCTTTTAATAACTTTATATGATGAGAAAAATTATATAAAAATAAAATAAATATTTATAATTTGATGATATTGGAGAGTATGTTAGTATAAAGCTATAGTATATAGTTTATAATTATTGTCTTATTAATGAGATTCGTATGAAGAAAACAATCTTAGAAACTCCCTGCTTGAATGAAGTTAATAATAATAATAATAATAATAATAATTCATTGAATGAAAGGTATATAATCATAAGCCTACGTATAGGAAAATAAAAAAAATATTTTTCACTGGATATAAAAATTACAATAATATATTTCATCAATCAAGATATATCTGTAGCTCTTGATTTTAGGCTGTATGGTCTAGAAAACTGGTCCGGACCGGCAGCAATAGGTCCGGTTCCACTTGGCATAAAAAAACGCTTCCTACATAGAGCCACCCAGAATTGAGTCAACCCCTAAACCGGCTCCGGTTCTAAGGAACCGTTTGGTTTATGGGCATTTACATACTACCAAATTTTATGTATTTTAGCTCCTAAACTCTATTTTTTACATTTATAGCACCCATATCACTCATACGACATCAAGAAAATCATATTTTAAGGAAATTCAATTTGCATACATACCACTCAATTTTCTTTATTTACATATCTAACAGCTAAACTCTTTTTATTTTACATTTATACCACCAAAATTAACCATATCATATGAAGCATATCACTATTTTAATTTTTTAAAAAAAGTGAAATGCATGTTCTCATGCATAGATAAAATGATGCATTTTAAAATTGAATTTAGGTGTTTGTTATTTATATACATATGAATTGAGTGAGATGTAAATCTAATGTATTGTCATTTTTAAATATATTTAAGATTTATTAGGCCATCATGTTGAACCCCTGGTTTAACTTTGGCTCAACATTTGAACCTTGAACTTCTCCTTCTACTGGTCCAATATCTGATCCAGTTTTCACAACCTCAGAGCCGAGTGCTCAAAAACAAAAATTCAAGGGCATTTACATACATACCACACACGTATTTGCATATCTAACACCTAAAGATTCATATTTACATGATTTAAGATGTCTATACATATTTAAAAGCTTAAGCATTAGATATAAGCATTTATTAAAAATTTAAAAATTAGATATATAATCCTCTTTTAAGAGAATCTAGCGTTTTGGTCAACATTGACTGATTTTCTCCAATTGAGAGGCCATGGCCTCCTCTTCCGAGTCATCATCAGCCTTTTCTGAATCCGCCACCTACTCCACCCACAACGTCTTGATATTAATGCTCGCCATCATCGTATCAATCGACCCGAATTGACCGGTCTACCTCGGTCGGCACACGATTCGAAATCTTCCTGTGATGGTTTACTTGACCATATCTCCAACTGAGCTGCTCAGGCTCGGAATGCATTATTTGCCTGGCTAAGATCAAGCCGGTGGAAAGGCTGTGAAATTGGGCCGAAGATCGTGTTTCGCTCTAAATTGGGTTGAATCATTCGAGCCGAACTATGAACCAAATTAAAGAATTTAATTTATTTCGGTTCATCCTCTGCTTGGATTAGGAACGGGTTGGATTGAGATCGAAATAAATTCTTATATATTTACATGTTTAACACAAACTTTTAGTTATACGTGCATAACACATTGCCAGCTCAGTTGGTGGTGAGGGATTTTTTACTTAACCGGAGTGACATGGGTATGAATCCTTTCTTTTCACACTGGCCGGGGCGGGGCCAAGAGGGGTTTAAGCCGGACTGATCTTGCTCATAAGCCAAAAATGGAATTCGAGCCGGCTCGAAAATCCGATCGATGCACACCGGATCGGATCGAAATTTAGTGTGATTGATCCACGATTCGATTTCAATCCGATTTTGAACCGATACTAGATCGGCTCGAAATCAAACCGTTCATACGGATGGCCGTGGCTTCCAGATGCCATGCATTGACAAAGTGGCTTGTGAGTCAACTCGCCTGCCCGACATGCTGCCAATCAATGGAGTGATTGGGTGCTTGAAATGCTTGGAAGTATTGTACATAGCTTGGTTTTGTTCCTTCCTTTCTTTGAGTGGATCATTATTAACTATACTCCTAAATAGTTAATTATACTTTTAAGAAGCTAACTTCTAAAAGGTTATGAGACTCCAAAATCAGATGAAAAAGCTTAGTTAAAAATAAAACCAAAATAAAAAAATAAAATATGTACAATTTAATAGTAGTGGAGAGTATGATACTATAAAGTATATAATTATTATCTTATTAATGAAATTCATATGAAGAGAACATCTTTAGAAACTCCCTATTTGAATGTAGTTATTAAACAAATTAACAATAATTTGAAAGGGATTAATGCATAAAATCACATACATGTAGGACAATTAAGAGTATTTTTCACTAGATGCAAAAAAAACATACAATAACATAGTCCATCAATCAAGATTTATCTATAGCTCCAATTTTAGGCTTTGTAAACAAGCATGCATTAGAGCAAAGAAAGTATATCTATCACATTAATAACTTTTTGCAGGCCTTTGTTTTATGCAAAATACACAATAATAGTAAGTGAGAAATTTGACATTAAATTTATATTATGTATTGCATATTTATGTACAATAACCTAAATGCTTCAAAGATGATATTCAAGTTAGAGTAGGTGGAAGTAGTGAAAGAAGAGATAAATTCTCTCCATAAAATAACACTTAAATATTGACTAAATTATCTAAAGAGAAAAAACCTTATAAAATAAGCAGGTTTGTCAAAGAGAAGCTTGTTAGCAACAAAAGGTTTTAAAAGAGGTTAGTATTGGAAGCCTTAAACAAAAGGAAGGCATTAACTTCCTTAATTTTTTCTCCTAATTTTAAAACCACAACGATAAGATTTGTTATGAGTATTGCAACAATAAGATATTTGTACTTAAGAGTAGATTGATGTTAATAATACTTTTATCCTTGGCAACTTAATAAACTATGTCTATATGATTTAACTTGATGATTTTATTGTACAAGGATAAGAAAGCCTAATTTACATGTTGTCGGTCGTCAACAGGGGAAAAATATATTTAATTTAATATTATATATATTCAAGTTTTATTTTATTTCAATATATAGATATATATATATATATATATAATATTTTAATTTTTGAAAATACGAGAGCAAACCGATCTCATATATACAATAGTTTAAATAAACGAGTACAACACCGCAAGTGGCGTACCTATCCCAAGGAATAAACACATTACTTGATAGTAAGATTCGATTAAATAAGCCAAAAAATTTATGACATCCGTTTTAGTCTGCGAAACATTTATGTTGACCGACAAATTCTTCTATCTAATATAAAAAATTAGGCATGGTTTATATTTAACTGAGTTCCAAAGTTTCCTGTAAGGGTAAGCCCCTATAGTTAATTACATCTTAGACAAGCAAAATCACCTAAGAAAACTCTCAATTTAGATCAGAAGGTATGGTTTTCAAGAATTTCAAAGTTTAGGGTTTTTAAGGTCGGACGAAGGAGTATCAAATGGGAAAGATCAAATAAGAACCGTTATTTTCGGAATCTAAAGGGATAAAACTAGGGGATGTCACGGATCCTGAGGCAAGCCTCGGAGACTTCTCAAGCTATTCTATGATTTAGCTTCAATTTCATGTAAAAATTATTATATGTTTCATCTTATCAATTATCATTATTTAGGGCTTACACTTGCATGACACGGTCATACAAATAGCTTGGAAGATATAAGGGTTTATGTCGTAACGAATGACAACCTCAAAGCCTAAAGCAAATTAAGGCTTATATTGCACAACATGGTTGTGCAAACACCTAAAGGTAAACTGAGGACTTACGTCATGCTAGAAGAACTACGTTAAAGTCCTATGAATTGTTATTTACTTCTAAGGAAATGTTTGTTGTTGTAGATATGTTTGCTCTCTCAGAGTTGTTCTCCTGTACATTCTTGTCATGCTGCCCACAAAGTTAGCTCCAAACTCCTCATCGAAGTGATAGCTCCATATAAGAACTTATAATTTTGCAGTTTAAGTGACAAATTTTGTTGTTATTGTTGTTCAACTGTCTTTTGGGAGATTTTAATTTAATTAGAGCGACACCGATTAAGATCCTACGGTTCCCTCATTCCGACACCACTTTTTTCTCTTGAATTTACTTAGTCTAAACGAGCTGTTAAGCTCATTTAAACTGAAGAACTCTCATTAGCAACCGTAGGTTACCTCATCCGAGAAATAATCTTAAACCCAAAAGAAGGGTATTATGTTTGTTCATTGTTTTGAAAGTGTATATTTAATTTTGAAAATGTGTTTTAATGCATTTCAGTTTTGATTTAGTTTTGCATATAAAGTAAATAAATGTAGGTAAAACATGTTGTAAGGAAAATAAGTGAAATTGTTATGCAAAAAATATAAATGCCTCTGGAGTTTATATTTTCTCTCTAATGGCTTGCTTCTCCAAGCAGTTAAGAATGAACTCCAACAACAAAAAGCAATGCACTTCCTTTAAAGAAACCTCCCCTCGAATGCCTCCTCTCTAGAACAGCCAAATGATATCTCCCCTCTTTGAGCACCTAGCCTCAAGGCCAAAAATGACTTTACCCCATGAAATGGGTGATTTATCTCAAGTGTTATGAATGCATAGCCTTGGAAACATGGATGGCCACCATAAGGAGCATTCCAGGCCACCAAATATCTAAAATGGCCCTCAAAATCAGTTGTGCGGGCCAGCCAACTCAAATAAGAGCAGATAAAGGCTTGACGCGGGTGCATCTGGGTTGTGAAGCAGGCACGTCCACGACATGTGCACCTAACATCGGGTATGGGCTTCTTGTGCCCTCTGTTTGCCAGTGTGGACCCACTGTGAGTCAGGTGAGGGTGCACTGGACCTAAGGTAGGCACCAGTGCGCTAAATCTTAGGCGTGGGTGAGCGGAGGAGAGTGTGGGCATGCTTCAAAGCCACTGCATTATTTCTGATGCTCTTTGTTTGCTAGCGCAGACCCAACACAAGTGTGTGGGACCTAAGGCAAGTTCAGGCACACCGAAATTTGGGCGCAGGTGAGCCGTAACTTGGCGCGAGTGTTCCAAAACTTGGGTGTGGGTGCGCTGGGGCAAAACATCCATATTGATGTTTGATGTGATTTGGGGTACTCAACTAGATGTTTGTGAGCTATGGGGCACTTCGAAAAAGTGGAATATCATCTCATAAGCTCGATGTCCAAAAAATCATGCCAACAATAGAATGCAAAAAGAGATCTTATGAAGTATGGAGAAAGTTATTGTATCCTAGGTATGACAGTTATAAGCAGTTATTGAGAGGTGTTTTGTTACACCGTCTTTGGGATGTGTCTTTGCACCATATTTGAGATGTATTATTATAACATCTTCGGGGTGTGTTATAACATTGTATACGGTGTGCTTGTTCACCGTTTGTATGATGTGTTGCTAAGTAGAATGCTTTGTTACTCTAATTTTGTTTTTTTGTCCTCTTTCATGAAAGTGCTATGACTCCATTTATAAAGCCTAGAAGATGCCTCATGATAAATAAGGAAACAATTCATGCCACTCTATCAAACGACCTAGAGAGATCTCATTGACCGAGCGGCGTTCTACAGACAATTGAGTGTTTTAATATTATCATAATTGTTTGATCTCGAGCTCTTTGTACTTTTTTCATCGCGATGCTCGATTTGACTATAAGTCTGTCAGATCTAGAATCTATTTGACATTCCAATTGGGCACCAAAATCTTCCAAAAAAGGTTTAACGACCCCATCTAGGCTTGATTTGACTCAGATTAGGTCAATGTTGGTGTCGTTGGGTCCGTCTCATCGAGTTAATCAGTTTGACAATAAATTTGTTGCAATCAGTTTTTTGGATGATTCTTAATTATTTTTTTATATTTTTTTCTAAAAAATTACATCAAGATTTATGTCACGGATCAAAATCTTAATCGGATTATGAAAATTTATTGATGACTCATCACTATAATGAACTCACTACAAATCCACCATTTAAATTCTTAGGATGCAGCACGAATCTTAACAAACTATAACTATTTTTAAAAAAAAATCATCTTAATACAATTTATATAGAATATATTCCCATATTTTTCTTTCTTGTCTACATTTTCTAAAGAAAATGATAGGCATTAGCTAAAACATAAAAATGTACATTGCTGAATAAAGATGATCCACTAGTGAAGGATTAAAAACCGGACGCAGACAGATCCAGAAGCAACCTAGCCCTTATCAAACAATATCCCATCTTCTCCCCACTTGTCTGTAAATACTAATTTCATGCTAAGTCCCGTTCACTCAAACCCAACATCGGCTGCTAATTTCCCTTAATTCTCATTTTCCGGCATCAATCACCGCCCCTCCTTAATAAAACTGATGCGTTATCAGCCTAACATCGCCTAACCAAAACCAAATTTCTTAAACGTGAAGTCAAATCATAGTCCCAATCTGATAGAAGCATCACAATCTCAAGAAAGCTCGCCCCCACCCTATCTTATTTCCGGCTCCTCTGCCACTCGCTTTCTCAATCTCTATGTCATTCTATTGCCAAAATGGAGAAAGATGGTCCCTTTGCGCCTTCTTGAGCCAAACTGAAAACGACATTGCCCCCTTCCCTTTCACGGAGTAAGACATACTCTTACAAACATCTCAATTCCCCTCTTCTCGTTCTCATCGCTCTCTCCATGTTCTCTCTCTTTTGCACAACTTCCATCATTTCAGGCGCAGATAGACGCAGAGGTAGAGGACATTAGCTGGGACAGTGACCTTCTTAAGTCGCCATAAGCAGCAAAGCACGAAAGATGAAATTTTGATTTCTTTGTTCGGGCTTTTGGCGTCTTACTGCTGATCAGGTAGGGGACCACCTAATAATCTGTTCAGTTTTTCTTCCCTCTTTCTCCTTCTTGTTATTAATTGGTTTTGCCCTCTTCCTTTCATTTAAAGTTATCTGCTTTTGTTAGTCCTGAGAGCTTGGTGAGGGATTTGGTTCTGCTGAAGGAGGTGGAAGAACCGCTTGGGTGAGGAAGGGCCTTTCTAGTGTTTTTCCATTTCAGAGAATGTAGGATTCGTTATTATTTTGATTTTTTTTATCATATTTCACCAATTCTCCTTCAGTTGCCTTTCAGTCTTTTTCGTTTTAACTTTCAATTCAAACCCTAATATGTTGCCCAAAGGGACAAGAAAGTGGAATTCCTGTTTTTCTTTTTCTTAGTACTTGAAGCATTTGCTGATTTTTTTCATCTTCTTAGATATATTTTGTCTGTGATAAGCTGAAAAGGATAGCTAAAACAATAGTGGAAATGTACCTCAGGCATTTTATTTAAGCTAAAATATCCTTAATTTTCACATCAAGGTAACATTTTTCCATATCATGAACTGTTAGAAAGAGAACACTCATTCCACTCGCACACTTTCAGCCATGGTTTCACAAGAGCTGCCGAAGGAATCAATCTCCAGTGTTCTGCAGCAGTGTCCTATCTCAAACATGAATGAATGTCGATCTCGTTCCGGTGGGCTTTGTTATTGCTCTCACTGCAACTGTGTAAATCGTCCGTTGGTTCGTCCTCATAGCTTACCAGCCAGCTTTCAGCCTCATGGCCTTCAAAGCTGTCGATCCATGGAGCCTTTTTCAGGAAGACTTAAAGAAGACGACTTGCCGGTCTTCGGCCGAGTACACAATCATGGTTTGTCACTAAGTCTTGGACCTGAGTTGGAGCCTAACAATGTTAGGCCATACAATTATAATCAAGAACATGTTATGAGAAACAAATCTGTGATCGGAGTTATCTGTGAGCCGCCGCCATGTTCTTGTGCCAAATATTCCAGGGATGAAGGCATGGTGTGCGATCAAGATGTGGACAGTAATAACTACACTTTATCATGTTTGAATTCAGCGGCACCATTCATTGATGGTCTTCAGAAGTCTCCATATCTTAAAGCTGCTCGAGAGCTGCTTGATGAAGTTGTTTGTGTGAGTAATAAGTCTGTCGTTGAGCCATCTTCGGAGAAGAACGCGCAGAGGAAGAATCAGATTAAAGGGAACTCGCACAATGCGCAGCTGTCATGGGAAGAAGAAGAGATGAGTAGAATAAATAAGCTTCTTGCTCTGCAGGAAGAGGTTTGGCCTTCTGTTTTCTTATTTGTTATAAATTTAATGCTGGTTTTTGTTTGAGTAAGATTGATGTTTAGTGTGCAATTTCCTTCTTTGTGGTTATCTTTTATTTACAATCTGCCAAGTTCTCTTGACTGAAAAATTTGAGCTTGTTTAGTGCATCATTGTATTATTAACTTATTCATGAAAAAGAAAAAAAAAGAATCAATTTTTATGGTGATGAATGAAAATATAAGCTGTCCATCTTTTGCAGATGGATTAAAACTTGAAGAGAATGGAAGAACCACAACTGTTAAGTTCACATTCCATGGCGTGTCTGCCATAGAAGTTCTACTTTGGAGCATTTATATACATGCCACACAATTCTTATGTATTTACACATCTAACACCAAAACTTTGGTTTTTGCATTTATACTACGCAAGTCTTTCATATCACATAAAAAATGTCATTATTTTAACTTTAAAAAAATGAAATACACATTTTTATGAATAAGTACGGTGGCATATGTGTAAAAGTTGAAGTTGAGGTGTTAGATATGAAAATAGATAAAAGAATTGAGCAGTATGCATGTAAATCTTCTATCTACTTATTTGCTTCACTTGCATCACCTTTGAATTCCTTCTACTTCCAAATAATTTACAGCTTTATATGTAGATATATAGGACTTCATTTTTCCTCAATGCTCTATATTTTCATATGCTTAGAGGCTATTTGTTTAACAAATTTAGTAAATTTTGTAAATCCATATTTACTAAATTCTACCAACACCTGGATTTAGTAAATCCAAGATTTAGGACAACATCAAAAGAAATTGAATTTGATAAATCCAAGTTTTAGAAGTTTACATTTTTTCTATTTGGCAGGATTCAAGTTAAATCCAATTTAAAACTTCTACTAAACAGTCCCTTAGTAATGCTTTTACTATTGCATCCTTTAAAAACTGAGATAGGACTAAATATGAGAACAACCGCTTCGCGAAATTATCTTAACCGTTCTCCTGTCCAGCTCGAAAAGCGACAGAAGATATACTTCCATCAAATGGATGAACTTGTAGCATCCTTCGAAGCTGTAGGAGGTCCCGGATCTGCCGCCACATACACCGCCCTCACCACACAAGCAATGTCCAAACACTTCTCTAATCTTAGGGAATCCATTCTCTCCCACATGGATTCTTCAAGAGAGGCCTTCCCCAAAGATGGTTCAAAAAACCATAAACCAAAGAGAGAATCACTCCAACATCTTGGCATGATCCATGTTCGACAAATTTGGAGACCGCTCAGAGGACTACCGGAGGACTCGGTCATGGTGCTTCGAGCTTGGCTTTTCGAGCATTTTCTTCACCCGTAATCTCTTGCTTCTTTGTAATCATTTTTGTTTCTCTTATTACTACTTTTAGAATTTGAAGTTTTTATCTCCATTGCAGTTATCCAAGTGACAATGAGAAGCTTTTATTGGCTTCCAAGACTGGCTTGACAAGAAACCAGGTAAAATTTGCTACTTTCAGGTAATCTCTTCTTTCTAATACTTTTATTTATTTTGTTTTTAAAAATTTCAGATTTCGAACTGGTTCATAAATGCTCGCGTTCGGCTGTGGAAACCGATGATAGAAGAGATGTACAAAGAAGAGTTTGCAGAGGAGCAAGAGGATTCAAATCCTTCTTTTTAGAAGTTGACATTGGAAGAGCTTAAATGATCAGAGGGAAGTAGCTGAGAGGTTTAGGAATGTGCAGAAAGGTGAGGCTTTTGGCTGTGTTGAGAGATCAGATCTAAGTAGCTAAAAGTGAGTGATTCAGTTCATGTGTTCCTGAAAAATTCTAGCTGAATGAATGAAAATCGTATTTGTTTAATTAATCACTTGATGACTAAACAGTTTGAAGTTTTTGGATAGGAAGATTTACATACATACCGCTCAATTCTTATGTATTTACATATCCAATCTAAGTTAAAAACTTTAATTATTGCATAACATGCCTCCTTACCTATGCTTGAAAAGGTTTAATTACTTTTTAAAAGTGAAAATGGTGGTATTTTTGTATGTGATAAGAAAGACTTGGGTGGTAAAAATGTAAACAGTTTAGGTGTTAGACATGTAACATAGGAATTGGGTGGCATTTATGTAAATGCGTGCCTCTTTGGGATATTGCTTTTGCTGGAGAGTTCACCACCATTAAAGTTGGTATTTTCAAGCTTGTTGAACAGAATGGTCACCAAACTACTGATTTCTGCTATTTTCAACCTTGAACATAATGATCATAATGCGCATCTATAAATACAATTAGAGTGGTCATCTGCATACATGTTAAAGCTGTGGTCGGCTCAAAATCGATTTGTGGTTCGTTATATTTAATGTCAAGTCAGCTCAGTTCGAAATAGAATAGAGCTCGATCCAGTTTGATATCAAAATGTGCTGCTCAAATGAGTTATTTGGATCTATTCCAGCTTGAAATCATCCGAAGTATGCTTGATTCTGCTCAAAATCAAATCGAGCTGGCTCAAGTTAAGAAATTTGGATTTTTTTCATCTCGAAAATTGCTCGAGGCTCATTATAATCAATTTTATTTAACATTGTATATATAAGTTTTATAAATAAAAAATGTTTTGAGCCAAACTCGAGCTAGTTCGAGCCAATCCATGTATGACTCGAAATCTGATAAAAATAATTAGACCCGACACAATTTGATTAAACTCGACATAAAAATAAAAAAAAAAGGATTTTAGTCATCTTATGTAATGTTTTGGTTAGCTCCAGTGACTACAGAAAATTAGAATTGTATGCATTGTGTTGGGTTTAAGTCAAACCTAAAATAAAGATTTGATTATTTAATAATTTTAAATAAAAAAAATATTATCAAATAGTAATACTTTATTATAGTTATTGAGTTGTCATGCTCATTTTAAATGGGTTGTCACTAATTAATGATAATTTAAATTCTTCTCACACCCTATCTCGTCGTTCGGCTTTGTTTTTATATCTTTGCTCATTTTTTAACAAGTAGACTTCAAATTGTTAGTACTCAAGCCGGGTCGACACCCAATATAAAATGATTACACGTCCTTAGAGGCTGTTGAAGACAAATGAAGCGATAGATAGGGAAAAAATTATTTCCTCGGACGTCCGCACGTCCAGAGGGCCAACCATCGGGCGCCATCTCACGCAGATGAGCTGTATGACGACGTGACACCCGGTAGTTGGTCGTTCAGACGTACGATGTACGGATAGAATTTTTTTCTCCTAGAAAAAAGGGGGACATTAAAACACGTTCTTGCTAAAAAATTTGCAAGTCTTCTGTCGATGACGGTAGCTAATGTTTATGCCGCAATGACGGTGTAGTTTGAAATGAACTTTTGAATGTATTAGTTCAATAAATAATATATCATGAATATTTGGCCAATTGTGGGTTTTATAGGTGATATAAAGTCAAATTTTCTTATAAAAAATAGAGAAAAAATATGGCATAATTTAATGATATCATCATGCTATTTCTGGTTTTTCTTTTTAAGTAATTGTGTAATTATGACAATTTATTTTTACTAACTCTCAATATTTCTTCTTTTTGTTGAATTTCTTATGAGAATAGAATTAGGGAGGTAAAAAATAGAGTGGGAGATTTCAATATTTGGTGAGCTAAAATATGTATAATTTGTGTTTATTAAAAACTATTTTATACTATATTTATTTTTAAGAAAATAAGATATTTAACACAAAAATGCAAAGTAAATATTCAAATACATCATGCATAAAATCTATAGAAATGATTTTAATAAAAATCTATAATAAGAAATCACATAATTAAGACACCTAGGTTCATGTCACATTTTTTTTTTGAAATTTACATGTGTGCCATTGAATTATTATGTATTTGCATATCTGGCGCCCAATATTTGAAAATTAAACTTATAACGCCTTGATGTTATAAACATATTCGTGAAAAGGAGCATTTCACTTTTATATATTAGTGATGTTGGTACACTTGATGTCATGCTAACAATTTAAGTAATATGCATGTAAATATGAATGTTTGGATGTTAGATATGTAAATGCATATGCATATGAATTGTGTGATAATTGTGTGATATGTATGTAAATGACTCTATTTTTTTTTTTCATAACGATTAATTGTTTTTCCATAACAATACCAAATTTTTCTAGTCATTTTGGGTTATGCTCGGTTATGATTTAAGAAGAGGAATCATTATGCTCTCTTTTGGAATGTTATTATGTAACTAACCATTAGAATTACAAAGAGTCTTTTTCAAATTAACTATAACAATAACATTCTTTTCTATTTTGACTCTTGGATTGATGGTATATCTCTATGAAAGGTTTAGGGTTTATGCTTTTACTATGTTTGATAATAAAGTCTATGTCAAGGTCTCTGCTATGATTGACAATCATACATGGACTCTTCCTTCTAATCATCATTTATGCTATATAGGATCTCCCTCCCATTATTCAAAACCATTATTTCATTTAGCTCATTATCAATCTATGGTTTGCTTCTGTATGAGATCTCATTTTGCTTTCTAGTTGTTTTTGGTTTTTCTTTGGCTTTATGTTCCTTGTATTTTATATTTGAAGGTTGATGTAGAAAATTTATTCATTTCCTGCTGTTATTTTTTGCTTGACATTTGCTCTTTAGATGTTGTTTTCTGCTTTAGTTGCAATCATCTTTTTTGGATGTCATGTTCTATATTTGAACCATGGTGAAGTCCAATTAATACACTTTTAGGGGCTCAACTATATATCATTCTAATCTCATTGACACTCTATGAGATTATGGATATTGTGTATCTTCATCTTTGATCTGGCAGTTGTCTTGGCAATCTCGCAGTGGCCCCCACTAATGTATGTTTGCTTCTATAATTGCTTTTGTTATGCTTGAATTTTATATATTTTTATCATCTCTAATGTTTAGTTGGCCTTTGAGATTGACTTGATGCTCCTCGGATGGAGCCTCCTATGATTTTCTATTTTAAATGGATTTCTAATTGTGTTGGCTGATGCTTCTCCCTTGCTCTCCCTCACTTTATTTGCTTGTATGTGCTCTTATATCTATTAATTTATGCTCATCATTAATTCTCTTAGTTCGTTTCTTTGCTGTATGTCATTTTATCCTTTCTTGATTGGTTTTGGCTATTTTGTTAAATTGATATATTACACTTAATGGTTTCCCACTCATTGCTTATGGGTTCTCTTTTTGCTACTACTGGCTTGTCTAGGCGGTTTTGTTGAGCTCTGTTGAAATCCAAAATTTTTTTTTGGGACTCAATCGTTTTTGACATTATTATAACATTTAATACATTTGAACTCAACGTTGTTGTTATTTTATTATTATTATTATTATTATTATTATTATTTTGCCAATTTAACTTCACAAACCTTCCTCTTTTTGGACTGCATTTTTAAACAATCTCATGTGATATATTTGTCCATTTATAGTTGTATGTTGCCTTCACTCTCAAGTGTTTCTTTGACTGATTTTTTTTTCATCATTAAAGCTTGGATGGAACCTCTTATGACACCCTTGCACGTGAATTTTTTAGGTCAGATTTTATTTCTCACTTCTCTATTATATTTATTATTATTATTTTTTTTTAATTTCGGTTAGATGTACCTTCTTTTTTAGTTAAATATAATTTTAGTGTGACACTCAAACTTACGCTAACAAAAAAAATAATGCAGAGGAGATGATGACCCGGTGGTTAGATATGTTCTCCAGCATCGAAATATCTCATGCTCGAAGCTCATTGACTAAAAAAATATTAATTAAAAAAACGTCAATGGTGTAGGCTGTTAGCTTCCAATAGGGCGTCGAACCGAGCCGAGTATATCATTGTTCAAACTTGGCTTGGTAAAATTATGAGTTGTTCATGTTTGACTTGAGCTTGTGTCGAGTTTTCGTATATTTTTCAAGCTTGACTTGTTAAATTTTTTTAATATTTGAACTTGATTTGTTTATGACAAGTGAACGAGTATTTAAAAGAGCTAATAAACGAATAAAAAATTCAAATGAGTATCTAGATTTTCATATAAAATATCAACAAATAATTTTACAAGTCTGGTCGCACCTACTAATTTATTGATTATTAACTCCATAAAAATGAAAGGTAATTCATGAATCGTGATCATATAAGACGTAATCACTCATCTTTTAACATGATCATACTCATAATTCTGAGTTTGCACCCAGCTCCCACATTCAGATGTAGGTGTTAAATTTCTCATAGTGATATACTCTTATCATTTTCCTAGTTTTTTTGGCTAAATTTGTTGATGTCTTCCATATTAAGTTGTTTCATCATATTTATTCTTAATCATATTTAATTTACAATAATTGTATTGCACTTTCTCAACACCACTTTTAAATTACGTAAATTTATGAGCAAAGTGTAAAAGAGATATGTGCGAGACTAGAGTAGTGTAAAAGAGATATGTGCGAGACTAGAGTTTCAGAGATCTATGCATACCGTGATCTTGTCATTATCTTCAATGTTTGCACGCCCTAACAACTTAGGGTTTCGTATGTTTTGGGCAAAAATGGGAAACACGAAATTGTGAGAGGCTAGAGGGCAAGTGAGGTTTGTGGTGCTTTAAAGTTAAAGGGCATTTAATGCATACCACACAAATCTTATATATTTTCACATCTATTTTTAAATTTTAATAAAATAAATATATGATTAATAATTAATCAAAAAAATTATTGATCAATATATATTACTACTAAATTTATAATAAACAAATTATGATTAATTAACTTTTATTTAAATAATATATCATATAAAAAGTGAATTATCATCGAGCTTAATATCAAATATTTAATGTGTTAGTTATTAAACAACAAATGAGTTTGTTCGTGAACATAAATGAACAAATTCGACTATCTTGATGTTTACTTCATTTAAAATTTGAACTCCTAAAAATTATTCAAATTTATTTAGTTATTAATTTGAACGAAAATATTCGAGCCTTAATCGAGAGTTGATCGAGTGCATTGATTCTTAGAGGCCTAGCTTCCAACAACAAATCCCAGCAATTTGATAAAGCGGGTCACGCGACCACTACTTAACCACTAAAATGCATTTTTCAGCTTCGAGCTCGCAAGTGCCTATTTTTTTGCTAAAATTTTCAGTCTGGACTCCAAACATAGCCTAACATCCGGAATCGAATGAATTATGCCACGTGTATTGGTGGTTCCACATTAAAACACAATTAAAAAAATTGAAAAGTTAATATCTAACCCGCTCGTTCGACTAACCGGCCTTATGGAGTATTGACATTCCCCAAATCAAACTCCTCCTGAACCCCCGTGGTACATTGTAATTACTCTCGTGATATTCCCCGTCATACGCAGAATTTATCCTGTCTTCCTAGTACTCCAAATAAACTCCCGCAGTACTCCCACGGTAGCCCTCACAGTACTCCCCCATTACTCCCACGATAGCCCTCAGAGTACCCCCGTAATAAACTCCCGCGGGACCCCTGCAGTACCCTGAATGCACTCTCCTAATATTTCTCACAGTACTCATAATTAATCCCGCAGTACTCCGACAGCACTTTCGATAAACTCCCGCAGTACTCTGCAGCAACACCTGCATAAACTCCCATAGTACTCCAAATAAACTCTCATTACTCTCTCAGTATCATGAATGCACTCTCGAAATATTTCCTGCAATACTCCCACAGTAACCGTCCCAGTACCCACGCAGTAAACTTCCGCATAACCCCTGAAGTAACATTCGAATACTCTTAAAATATTTCTCGTATTATTGAGTTAATCCTGCAATACTTTTGATAAAATGCCGCATTAGCACCCACATAAACTCCCGCAGTACTTGCGCAGAAACGTTGTCTTTTTTGGGTTATTTCTAGGTTATTTACGGATTATTGTCCGATTATTTCTATTTTATTTTAATGTCATTCGAAGTTTATTATTCTTCTCTTTTTTTTAATTTTTTATTGTTTTTCATACTCCTTAAAAATAAAATCGATATACATACTACATTGAAAATAAAACCTATGTACCCATACTCAAGATTATTAATGAGTTATTTTCAGCTTATTCTTTTGTCACATTTGTGCTCAAGTACCTCGAGATTAATCTCCGGCGGGTTAGTCCAACGGGCAGATCAGACATTAACTTTTTGATTTTTTTTTAAAAAATTAGTTATTAATGTGGGACCCCATTACAAGTGGCATGATGTTAAGCCATGTTCGGAGTCCAGACTAAAAATCTTCGCGTTTTTTTTTAACCTCGCAGTCTTTGCCATAAATGAGCTAAACAAGCTCTAATTCTCTTCCAGCTCTTGCTTAAAGCAGCAGCTAAGCTGCCTCGCAATTCCACCATTCTTCTCTCGCGAACCCTACTCCTCTTTCTGAACTCTTTTCAGCTGTTGGCTGAACGATTCTTCTGAAAGGAGACATGGTACGTTTAATTCGATCCACATTTGGTTTATCCACTCACAGATCTAGCGTTCGTTGATCTCCATTAATCCTTGGATTTTTTAATTAGGCCTTTTTTATGATTGGCATTGCCATAGTATAGTTGCTAAGTGTCGGTGATGATTCTGGAAGCAGGGGTGCCTTTTCTTTCTCCTTCAATATTTATTCATTTTGGGAATTTGTTGACGTTGTGAATGATTTGTGACATTAGTTTAATATTATTATCATTATTTGTTGCATTGTCTTTGTGTTTGATAGCTGATGGAAAATGCTATGAATGGTTGGGCTCTGTGGCAAGTTTGCATTTAGTGCCCTAGGAGAATATAGCTGAACAGGACTGGCAAAGATTTGTGGGTATTTTGTTTATGATAGGATTTTTTTTTCATACATAGTTTGTTGGTAGAAGTTGATTTTTGGTTCAGAGTTATTCTTTCACGTAGATTCTAATGGTATATGTTCTTGTAATTTTGCTGTAGTTTTTACGGCAGCATGGAAAAACGGCAAAGTTGAATTAAGCGCACAGGAAGAATTAGGCAGTTGCAATGTTGAATTTGACATAGGAACAATATTTGAAAATTTGATGTTATGATTTATCGTAGAGACTTGAGTGAAATATAAGGTGTTGATTCTATCATGAAGTTTTGTGCTGCGACATTGAAACTATGCATCTGGTCAATGTAACTAGCATTTCTATTGCATGTTTTCGTGTTTTAACCCTTTTTCTAAATCATTATGTGATATGTTTTTGTGCGTGAAATTATTCACTAATGACAAGGCTTAGACAATCTAGCAATGATATGTTTACTGTTGTTGTTTCTCTCTTTTGCGTTTGAGGATTTATAATTGGACAAGAGTTTCCTTCTCTCTAATAACACATTCAATTTGTAAAAACATAATTCTCATCATTAGTCTAATTAAAACTATTTAGGTTTGGTCTTGTGAACTCTTATTCTAGAGTCCTTTTTGATAAGTAATGATTAATGCCTTAAAGTTCTTCTACGTAAAACCTTTTGCACAACTTCTATTAGCATTATCTTTAGTCTATTTCTCTTCATTCCTATTCTTTCAACTAATTTCATCTCATCATTTTAGTGTATTTTCTACTCTCCATTTTACGTCTAAATCACCTTAATCTACTATCCACTATCTTATCTTCAGGGTATTCTAATTCCATAATCACTCTAAAATAATTATTCATCAATTTATCTAATCTATTTTTTTTATAGATTGACCTAAGCATTGCATTTACACTACGCTAATGTTGGTTACCAATGACATGTTCATTGCTCAACACTCAAATCTAGACTATATGCTTGGCTTAATTATATATTTATCACATTTAACTTTTAAGTATCCATGATACCATTTTTTCACAATATTTCTTGGGTGTTTCTTCATCAAGGCCCCTCAACATTTAGCTCTAAAAGCTTTAACCTCATGGGTGTCTTATCCTTCAACATGTTTTCTTCACACGTAGGATTCACTTTCTTTTCATGTACTATTGATTGTTATGTTTTGATATATTAAATGATAATAATTGCATGTTTTAGGGTTCAATTGTTTTACTGATCCTAAGGCTTTTATTTCAAACATTTTGTTTATTATTTTACTTATTTTGATGGTGTTACTACATGAAAATTGGCTATTACTGACAGAAATTTTAGCTAAGTGTCAACTCGAGTTTGTATCTATCTCAAACTTGACTTGACTGAAATATGATTGAATCAAACTTGACTTGACTAAAATATGATTGAATCAAACTTGACCCATTCATTATATAGGTTAAAACTTTGATCCGAGTCAACTTAAACCAAACACGCCTAACCAAAGCCTATATGTGTAACCTATTTATTATTTGAATTATTCTATTTTTTTTGGATCAGAATAACCTGGTTAACTCAAATATGTTTCATTTAACCCAATTAACCTGTTCAGAACCCACTTATATAAATTTGAATAGTAGTCGGGTTAATCTTGGGTTATTTTGGTTAGCTTGAATCTCTCTGGAATAATAAGTTGGTCAAAATACACAAATTCAACTCGAATAATAATTTGGTCAACCTGAGATATTTTTTTTTTTTAGTCAAGTTGTTGGGTTGGGTCATTTATTGGTAGTTCTAAGTGTAAACAGTGACATGAGAGACTTTCTTTGTATTTAAAGTCCATTTATCCTAGTTGTTTCCATCTCACAAAATCCTTCATGTTGATGCCCCTTCTCTTGATTTAACCTAGTGACGTCTTCTCAATGCCTCTCCTTACTCCTTGTTAGATTGAAAGCTTGAGCATGTCGTTTACCACTGAAAACATCCATATTGTCCTAATTCGAACCTATCCCCTCCTTTTTTCTCTCCTCCTCCTAAGGTTTAGTTTTTTTTCTTCTTCAAGTACTTATATTTCTTGTAAATCTATTCATTTACTAAATTTTAATAGTATGTTTTTAATGGTTTTCATATTTTTTTGATATATGTGTTTTACTTGGGCACCGAAAATTCTTTAGGCATCATTCCATGTTTAATTAAATTTTGTTATTTAAAAAAAAATTATTTAAAAAAAATTTAGTGGCGAGGCTAGTATTTTAAATGTTTCGAGGAAATTGTTTGGTGGTATTTAAAAAATAAGTCAAGGATAACTAAAAAAAAGATAGAAAAACTTTTAAGTGGTAATATAAGGTGTTTTGAATGAAATAAGAAAATTATAAAGACACGGGCTAGTGGCGACTGAGAAAAGTTGGTTAGAAATATTGTAAGTAGTGATGCTAGGTATTTTGAATGTTTTAAAAATATTTTTAAAAATTGCTAATGACGATTTAGAAAAATTAGTGATATTTTCAAAGTTTTCATTTATTTTATTATTAAGATAAAGGCGTCAATAAATGACCCAATTCCAAACTTAGCTAAAAAAATCCGAGTTTTAGTTGACTCGATTATTATTTTATTGTTTATGGCATATTTGAGTTGATCCAAATTACCCAAAAATAACTAAAAATTGACTTGATTATTATTATGGTTTGGGTTTAACTGGTTAAACGTTCCACATTAGAGTTAATTGAGTAGTGCTGATCTAAAAAATTGAATGATTTATATAATGAATGGGTTAGCCGGTCATGCTTAGTTAAGCATATTTAGTTTGGTTCAACTTTTGGTTGGATACGAACTTGACCCATCAGGCTAAATTGGCACCCCTTTATTGAGGTATTTAATGGTGATGTTAACTAATTAGTTTATTAGTGGCGATGTCAATTAATTAGTTATTTAATAATGATATTAACTAATTAATTATTTGTTAGCATTGCCAAACAACTAATGATGATATATTTTGAGATGAATTTTTAGTGGACTTGAGATTTCTTATTTTTTTAGCATGGCAACAACACATTTTCATCTTAAAAGTACTTAAAAATCAAGCTAATTTAACATTAAATGAGATTAGATTTGTATCAAAAAGGATTTAATTCTTACTATTTAGTTTGGACATCACATGCATTCTGATAATCTAGCTATTATTAGAAATACTAAAAACCCAATTCATCACGATAGGACTAAAAATATTGAAATTTATAATTTTTTTATTAAAAAGAAAATTGAACAAGGAACTATCAAGGTTGCCTACATTCCAATTAAATTGCATGTGCTGATATGCAGACAAAAACTCTTAGTAAAATCAAATTAATGATCTAATTTCAAGCTCAGAATAATTAAAAAGCATTCCCATCTTGAGGAGTGTGGAAATTCTGAAAGGATTCACCTTAGTATTCAAACACTTAAATCTGCTCTCCTAATTTGCACATTATTATCATGAGTATTGAATCCATTAATTTGACGAACAAAGGTATCGAATCCCATTCACATTAGTATCCTCTAGGATTCAATACCCTCAAATCTGCTCACATTCATATTTAAAACCCTCAAATTGGAACTATGGATTATTAACCAGCCTTCCCAATGCCGCTCTACCAAATTCCAAAATGCATAGCAATCATTCATGGATCTACAGCTTTTCTGTTCTGATAATTTGTTCCTTTCAGCTTTTCCCTCCCGCGAGGATGACTTTGCATTTGCTATATAAGTTTATCTCTGTTTTAGTCCTAAACATTATAAAAGTCTTGTATTTTTCTCCATTGTTTTCCAATAATATCAAAGTTTAATTTATCTTATTATTTGTTTATGATGCTTTCAAACTAATCTATTCCTTGAAACTCACATTTAATACTTTTTTAGCATATTAGTTTCATATTTTCTTAATATATGTGTCTTTAACAAAAAATTTAGTCAATTATATAAATCATCAGAAGCTACGGACCTGCCAAATTCAGATATTTTTTTATTAGAAAACAAATTCTAATACTTGATTTCATATCAACTATCGAAATGTGCTAACTATTCATCATGTCGAGAAGATGCTTTAGTTAAATAAATGATATCACTGACATAGGCTGTAATTATGAAATTGTAAAAGAACAAATCTGTGAAATCAGTTGTTTCCAATTTTTCTGCTTTCAAAAAAAATGAATTTGAAGTTGAGAAGGTACTCTCATTCACGCTCATGATTCTGTACAATTTTTTGCTCTGTCAAATTTGATAGAAAACTACGATTTTATGCAGGAGAAGGAAGCCAAAAAGGAAGCTTTTAGGAAGTATCTTGAGTCCAGTGGTGTGCTTGATGCATTGACGAAAGGTTCTCAATTTCTCATCAATCTTCACAGTATTACTCATGCTTATGTTAGCTTGGAAACTTATTGTAGTTCTCGTCTTTAAATAACATTATGTCAGTTTTTTCCTGCAGCTCTTGTTGCATTATACGAAGAGAATGATAAACCTTCATCAGCAATTGAGTAAGTTCAAAATGAACTGTGGCTAAATAGAATACTAAGTTTGTCTAGATTCTCATTTAAACCAAAGTTCCATTTATTCATGCTGTGGTTTTTCTTATACTCGGTAGGGAAGATCTGCTAGGACTCTATGGATTTTGTGTCATCAGTGCACTCTAGCAAGAATATCCAACTTCTTAGAAAATTAAATAAAAAGAACGTAGCAATCATACTCAAAATATATTATATGTTTTATTACAAGTAAAAGCCATACATGGTAGTTTATTTATTTTTATTTATATTGATGCTAATTGCTCTTATTTCTGTATAAGGTTTCTTATGCTATATCTTCTTACTTCTTCAAATTTTGGCTATTATTAAGTTTTAATAACTGAGCATCAGTAGTAAACTGACTTGAGCCCAACAAATTAGTGGTGAGACTTCTGTTCAACCTAAAATAATCAGCAAGGGTGCATCCACATAATTAAACTTTTCATCCATTGAAGTGGGATAAAAGCCGCTTTCCATAGCAAGTAAAAATGAGTGGTTTAGAAAGAATAATGACTATCGAAATTGATGATGCTCTTGCATCACGCGTTGTCAGGTGTACTGACACCCGAGATGTTGATAAAAGCAATTTTCAATTTTAGCACACAAAAAATTGCATCTTTCTGTGTGATCGACCAAGTTAGCCTCACCTCATGTCTTGTGATTCGTGTATGGTGATGTTGATGACTCTTCAATTTTATGTAATGCCTTAGTTCGAGATCTAATCACTGGTACGTGAACATGTGCTGGTGTTAATGATAGTATCAATCTTGTATCTTACCACAAGCTGGCTTTAGATTAATTTTTACAAGTGTTTATATTTGTTTTTCAGACCAACCCAATGAATTTCATTTAACAACAATAAATTATGTCATTATTTAATAGGAAAACTAAAGTTATGTTTTAATAACTTATGCATCATGCAAGGACACCAAAAATTATGCGAGCGTGTCACACAAATGCATTCAAACCTATGCAATCGCATAAAAAACATGCACATTTTTTTATTTATGCTCCGATAAATGTGTTAAATGCTCAACGTCTGAGAGTATTACAGAGACTAAAAATAACCAAATAAACTTAAGATTTTCTCACATGGAGAAACGCGCTATCATTCTTTGGCTAATATCTTCTTAGTCGTGAACCGTTAGTGCACTTGACAGGGCATAAATCTCTTTGTTAGCTGAACTCAACCTAAAAATTTCTTTTTAGATATTCACCTCGGAGCCTATGTGGTCCTTTTGAACGATACAACCCATGATTACCAACATAGATCTTTTGGTTAGGTTAGGTCAATGATCTCCTCGGACTAAATAGTATTGGCCCATGACAGGCCATGATTTTGATTTAATTTATCGTTATTCCCCTTACCATCCGCTCTTAAACTAAAAGTGATAAAATCTAAGACCTAAGTTGATGGTAGCATAAACCAAGTACTTAGTGCCCAACAACTAACATTAATGACAAGTTTTATCTCATTATTAGAATAAGTAATTAACTGTAGCGATTTGTGCATATGAAAATTGGAGCTAGTTCATAAAGTTGTAGCAAAACAAGAGTGAAATATCTAGGTATTGTCTTATCTTTGTATTTTGAAAATTTACGTAGAGACAGACCCTTGAAAGATCTGGACGCAAATTTTTGGTGCCCATAATTATCTCTTTGCCATAATCTATATGTACTTTCCACTAGTGAAGCATTATTATTTTCAAAGCGTCATGCTATTCATGAAGAAATTCATATGGCTTAAGATTACAATGGGGGGAGGTATTTGTGAAAGAGAAATCTTAGGAAGAATTCAGATTTTGGGGAATGCTTGCTTTGTGTAGAGAGATGGAAAGGATATAGGATGGAGGAATGAGAGTGAAGCGGGAGCTTCCCACATGGACCCTTGAGGTGACTTTTGCTACAGTCCCGTGACCTCCTCTAGGTCTGGACCGGGATCAGCAAACAGCTGGGCGGCAGAGTAAGATTGAGGGAGGGAGAAATCATAGGAAGAATTCAGATTTTTGGAAATGCTTGCTATTAGTAGAGATATGGAAAGGATATAGGATGGAGGAATGAGAGTGACACGGGAGCTTCCGCCCTAACAGCAGCCCTTTTGTTGTTTTTCCTGCAGTTTATCACTGTCCCGCCATCTTCATCGCTGCCGCAACCCCGGGACAGCCCTTCTTTTACCGTCATGCAGTCTCATGTATTCCCTTCCGCTGCTGCTC